ACACCCTGAAGGGCATTTGGGTTGTTTCTAGTTTTTGTTATTACAAATTATGTGGCTATGAATATTTGTGCATAAGATTATGTGTGGACAAGGCTGTTGCCACCCTGATATCTGTTCCCTACATTAAACCCAGCATATATGAAGTCAAAACCAAAAACAGCCATCCCCTTCCCTGCTTCTCTAGTTTCCTTCATACGTATATATTGGTCTCTTTAACCTTTGTATGCCCCATACACACCAGGCAAATAGAAGTCACAAATTGTTAAAAGCCCAGGTGGCCTCACGCTTGGCTCACACTGAAGTTGTGCCTACTTACCAGTTTTGAGATTTATTACAGGGAAACTGATACCCACACGATATCAAGAAGCTGAGGCTCCCCAGACCCCAACTCCCCAGCTCCCTGGCGCCAGAATCCACCACCCATCACAGGGGGCAGACGACCAAGGACACCCACCTGCGGATTCCCTGATCTCACCACCCTCCTTCCTGCCAACAGCCTCACAAGGCCAAAGGAAGGCTGGTGGGGAAGCGCCAACCAGCAAGGCCACAGGCTCCCCCTCCCTGCAAGCAGCCACATTCCTCACAATCTTTAAAACCCCTTGCCTCCCATCTTTCCAGAGAGAAAATGTGAGGGCTTACCCTCTTCTCCTGGCTGACATCACTCGAAATAGAAACTCTTTCCTTGCCATAAGCCTGGAGTTCCAGTTTTCTTTGGCCCGTCTTCTGTGGTGGGTAAAAGAACCTGTGTTTGTATCCAGTAATGATATTTTTTTTCTCTTGGGTAAATACCTAGGAATGGACTGGCTAGACTGTACGGTAGGTGTATGTCTAACTTTTTCAGAAATTGTCAAACAGTTTTCCAAAGTGTTTGTATCATTTACACGCCTACCAGCAATGTATGAGAGTTCTGTTTCTTCCACTTACTTGCCAACACTTGCTTTGATCAATCTTTTTAATTTTAGTCAATCTAATAGGTGAATAGTGGTACCTCACTGTGGTTTTAATTTACTTCACCCTAATGACAGATGATGTTGAGTATCTTTTCATGTTCTTATTTGCCACCAGTATATCTTCCTTGGTGAAATGTGTGTTTAAACCTTTTGCCCATTTTTATTGGTTTGTTTGTTTTCTTATTATTGCACTCTGAGAGTTCATTCCATTAAATTTTAAAATGCACAGGAGACTAAAATTAATCAATATCTCCCATCTACCTCCTAAACAAAACTCTGACCTTGCCCACTCCTGTTTTAGGACTTTCCTGCTTGGAATTTTAGTTCTACTTCGTTCTTATATGTGTATTTGTCTATTTCCCCCCCACCCATACACCCCATCTCCTAACCTCTCCATTCTCTTCTTCTGGATCTCCACTTTGAAAAGTTTGACCTTTGCAATGTACCTTTCATGCCTCTTAATTACACTTTCACGTTTTCCATTTCTTTATATCTCTGTGCTGCTTTCTGGGGAATTTCCTCACAAGCCACCTTCTCGTTCTCTTATTTATCTTGAACTGTGGCAGGACAGCTATCTTACCTTTCTTTACGTTTCTAATTTTAATGACTATCTTTTTCATTTGTAGAAAGTCTTTTTGGTACTTTTTCAAATTCATTATCTTTTTCTTAGTGTTTTCTTCTTTTATTATGGTTTCTAACTCTCTTTTTTTTCTTTAACGATTATAAATACATATTAAATAATGATTCTCATATTGATCTGCTATCTGTAGTTCTTTGGTCCTGATTGTTCTGTTTGCACATCTGCTAACTCTTTCACATGGAGAGTTGTTTCCTCAGGGCTTTGTAACTCACACTTTTTTTTTTGCTGAGGAAGATTCACCCTCAGCTAACATCTTTTGCCAGTCTTCCTCTATTTTGCACGTGGGTCACCACCACAGCACAGCCTTGAAGGAGTGTCGTTGGTCCACGCCCGGGAACCAAACCCAGGCTGCTGAACCAGAGTGTGCCGAACTTAACCACTAGGCCACAGGACTGGCCCCTGTAACTCACTTTTGTACACGCATCTTCTGTGGGGTTATTCTCTCTTGGGTACTTCCATGTGTCCCAGTTGTGAAAGTGTCCCTGGGTTTGATTCTGGCAGGGTCGCAGGGGCTTCGATGGTCCTGAATCAGATTTTGTGTTAATTTATCTCCTTGCGGCTCCCATACGGTGCAGGTAATACGAATTTAGATCCCATCTCTGGCATAGGCTTGGGGTTTGGTTTCTTCCTGTTGTGTTTTTATATCTTTCAACCTAAAGCTTCAGGAAAAGTCCGAGCTTCCTAGAGGGGTCCACGTCTGAAAAAGACTGAGGATTTTCTGGTTTCCTTGGAATGGAAGGGATGGCTCTTGCAGGATCCAGGCTTTCTGAAGGAGTCCCCAGTTCAGCTTCTCACCATCTATGGCCCAGGCCCATGTCTACACCACATGTGTGAGTATTAGAACCCCAGCCCTCACCACATCTGTCTGTAGGGATTTTAGGAAGCCCCAAATATAATATTCCTTTCTTCCCTACCTGTGTTCTGAGTCAATTTAGAGATAGATGCCAAAGTCAGACAGGGGAGATTAGCATTTCACCTTTACCACAATAAAGCAGTTTACAGAACAGCACTTGGGTCCTTGGCAACAACAGAATTACAACACTCTGCCTATAACCAAACTTGCTCTGCAGGCACAGGCAGCATTAGAAAATCTCAATTCTAGTAGCAGAGCCTGACCTCTTGAATTTCTGTATAACCTAGGGCAGATGAGAATGCATATTTTCTACAAGGAGACAGGTGCCAAAAAGGAGGAGCCAGAAGGGTCGATCCAGACACACCTGGTAGTCCCTGCTCCCAAACTTATCAACCATTACATCACCCCTCTTCTCCTGTGAGTGAATGAGTGTGGCCAGAAGTATTGTTCTAAAGAAGGCAGTTCCTCCACAGAGAACCATGGGTGCAGGGGATGCGGTGGGGAGTAGCCGTCCCTTCTGACGATATCCAGGAGCTTGTGTCTCCAGCTTGCACTCTCTCTTCCCTTTCTGAAATCTGAGTGTACCCTTTGTTTTCAGCTAAACACTAGATTTAAGATTATTGTTGGTATAGTTTATCCAGCATTTCCATGTTTGAGGCCAGGAGCTTCAGCTGTCATGTTGTGTGAAATTCCTCTAAAGAGTGTTTTTCACGAAGAAACAGGCAGGCCAGTTATAATAGGCAAGGCCTGAAGGAGAACAGGCCTTTCTAGACCTCTTTCCAAGCCTGTTTAGGCTTCTGAGATTGCACAAAATAACTATTTCCTCATATGATTCTTTCCTTCATTAACTATTATAGTAAAAATAGTTAATTCATAAGTTAATTATTCATAATTAATAGATAGATATTCATAATTAACAACATTCAATAGTTAATTCACAAGATAATTCAATAGTTAATAATTCATTATTATTATAGTAATAAAGTAAACATGAGTATAAATCTCAACATACCCCAGTATATACGTATTTACCTTCTGAATTTAGTAGGTAAACACACCTTTAAACACATGCAATAAATACAATTCCAATTTCCTGCTCTATATCTTACATCATGCATAATGCCATTTATACTCGCATCCTTATTTCTTGCATGATGCCATTTATACTCTTATCTTCATTAATCTGTTGCTATATAGTGATAATGGTGCTGCTTCGTCAAAGCACACCTTATAATAGGACTCCTTGAAGACACCGGAAAATACTTCATAGCCAATGGTTTTTGATGAAATTGCTTTTTGCAATTGAATTTTAGTTTAAATATAATATAGTTATTATAAAGAAGAGAAAACTTAAAAAGCATTATAAAAACAGTAGGAAAGTATGTCTCTAATCTCTTGTGCATTTAGCCTAGGAAAATACCACATCCCTCCTCCCATCCTCATAAAACAAAACAGAACCAACATTCAACTGAATAAAGACGTAACTTATCTATGCTGCTGAATCTGATCTTATTTCTCTTCTTGGAAATTGGCAGAAACAGAGTTTGCCATCAACTTTAAGGCTCTCTTTCAAGTCCAGAACGAAACATTTCAACACAGTAATGTAAAACGAGTGGACATTTTTACTGAACACTTACTTTGATAGGCATTGTGCAGACATGTTCTATGTTTCTTTTATGTAGTCCCCTCCTCCATTGTAACTGGTTGCACAATTCTTAACCCATTTTACAGATTAGGAAACATGGGTTTCCAGAGTTTATTGGCACCCACGGGGTGTTACATTTTTTTGATGTTTAAACTACTACTTTATTCAAAGTGAAGTACAGTCTGGTGGTAGGAAATACAGTAATACTCAAGGGACCTGAGGGAAGAAAAAGATCTTAGAGTTGCACAAAGATCCAAATTACGTAAGCTGCAGAAATCCTGGGTGGAGACCATGATACCTTTTAGATCATCTCTCACCCTCCAGCCTGGCAAATTACCTTGTAGATCCATTATGGTTTAGGTTCTTTAACTGTCTGTGTGCTATGGACCCCTTTGGCCTTCTGGTGAATTCCATGGACCCCCTTCTCAGAATAATGTTTTTAATGCATAACAGAAAGAATAGAAATTATATTGAAATATAGTTCTAGCATCTGACCCCTGAGATTTTCAAGCATTTCTGTCCATCTCACCTCCCAAAGCGCTCAGAGACTTTCCTTACCTTCTTCAGAGAAGGTAAAAAAGAGACATCCAAGCAGGTTTGGAAGGTGTGCGGGTGGGGAGGAGTATGACAATGGAAACATTAGCGTCTTCCTTTTCTCTTCCAAAGCCTCCCCACTTCCCTAGCGCCTCCATCTTTTCCCAGATCAAGTCCAATTTCTCTCTAGTTTTACTTCTTTTCTATCAGCCCCATCTCTTGCTCGGCCCCGCCCAGTTTTCTAGACCCGCCACTCGCTGGCTCCACCTCCCTCTAGCGTCCTCCTTCCACAGGAATCCCGCTATCTCCCCTATCACTGCTCCGTTCCCTGCCAATCACACTGGACCCTCTTGCCCCGCTTCCGAATCCAAACCGAGCCTGTTGGGCCGAGGAGCGGCGGCTGCGGCAGGATGGCCGGGGCGGCCGGAGGGTTCTCGGAGGAGCAATTCCGGGAGGCCTGCGCCGAGCTCGATCATCTCAGCTGGGAGCTGCTGGAGGAGGACCTGGACCTTCGCTTCTACCGGCTGCGGGACCAGGTAGCGGCCGGCCCGCTGGAGGACCGCGGGGCTGCCCTCCCCGCGGGGAGTGTGGGGCTGCGGCCACGGAAGTCAGGACCGGGGCGGGTCTTCTGGAGCTGGGAGGAGCGAGCGTAGGGGTGATGCACCCCGCTAACTTTCCAGGGACAGATCTAGGGGAAGTCATCTAAATTCACCCTCAGGTCTGAGGCCCGATGGGGGACGTGGCGTTTTAGGAGCTAATGATAAAATTAAAACGTGGGTCTGCTGATTCTTAGCCCCACGTGCCTGCCTGTGGGAGACATGGATTCCCCACACCACCCCACGGTGGGTGCCAATGGTGTATGTGGGGGGGAGTATCCTAGGGTTTGAATATAGGTGGGAAAGAGATTGGACTTTTCAGAGACTGGGTGTGCAGGTTGGCTAGTGTGTGTGGGCAGGAGTGTTGCCGAAAGGACCCACTATCGTCTCTAGTCATTTTAGCTACTTGCTTCTTTTGGCTGCTGCCCCTTCCTTGTAAGTTGCACTTAATAACTTTAGTCTGAAGCTTCAGGGAGAAAGCGGAGGAGGAGTGGAGTGGGTTATTAAGCAAGTCGTGGGGCGTTCTTGGAGGCCTTTGGAAGCAGGTAGCCATCTAGGTGGAAGGGTGGCATTGCACCTGAACCCTGTCATCAGTTGCTCTGTGTGGTAGTAGTTGCATGGCAAATAGGTTAAAAGTCGCCTTTAGGCAAGGTAAGTGCAATCAAGGTTTCCTGGCAGAGGACCAGAGTATTCCAGAGTTAGAGCAGGGAGGAGCTCTGAATGTCTGTGTGGACCAGGGCCATGGGGTATAAGAAGATGAACGAGAGGCGCACAGTCTAGAGCAGGCAGAATTAATTCCCTAGTGTAATTGCAATTCCTTTATGCAGAAATGGACATGTTTTCAGACAGAATCCTTTTACCTTCTCTCTGACAGTTTCATTTTCCTTATCAGCTGCATCCAGGCATTTGCCAGCTTTTGTCAGTTGGACTGCTCAGACATGTCTGACATCTGGCTGGTTCCCCTCCCTTTCTTTCCTTTATGTTTGACACTCTGGATGGCACCTCTCCTCCAGAATTGCAGTGACATCTTAACTAGTGTCGCTTCCTACTAGAGGCCTTCCACCTCTCTGATCCCTTCCATCCTACACATTACAGCCAGTCAAGCACCTGAAAGAGGCTGTGATCTTACTGCTTCCCTTTCAGTGCACTGTTGATTACAGAATTAATAATAATAACAACCATTGTAATAGCTAACACATTTCCTGCTTTCTTATGTTTGAGACACTATTTAAGTGCTTTACAGATATTGACTTAACTCAACCCTCACATCAACCCTAATGTAAGGTACTATGATTACCACCTTTGTAGCTATATGGAAAGGAAGATAGGCAAAGGTTAAGGTGATTGCTCAAGATTTGAACTGGGATCGAAACTCAGCTGTCCAGCTCCAAACAGGTGCCATAAACACGTTCCTGCATTGCCTCTGAAAGAAGGCAGGTGCTGCCAGGTGGGCTCCACTGAGCTAATTCGGTCCCAACTCACAACTCCAGCTGTATCTCCCATGACTCACCCATACATCTCCTTACAATATCATCCATGCAACCCGGACCACACCACCTCCCTCCTCACACTGGCCTGTGCTTTTTTGCTTTTGTGCCTTTTGTCCCAGAACATCTACTGCCTGTGAGCGAGACTGTGACTGGCTTTGTATTGTGTATTGTTTCCATTGTGTATTGTTCTGTAGCAGGGCCCTCCTCCTGTGGGGAGGACATGAGTGGTATTCTGAGTAGTTTTTATCTCTATGAAAAGATATGACTATACTATAAGATATGACTTATAGTGTATAACTCATGTACTTACAGTATATAAGTACTATAAGATATGACTCATTTCAACCTGTTCTGGGAATGAGGGTAGTCATGGTACATTGATGTAAATTAGAAGCACTCCCAGAGAACTTCCATAAATTTGGAGGGCCATAAGATTCCCGTATATGTGCCATCGAGCCTCAGCAGCTGGAATGGAGGCTCATTGCCCCGTGGTCACTTTGGTCTCCATCTGTAGTAAAATGTTAAGAGGCCCTATTGGGTCTGGGTAAAAGCCCTTTCCTAGGACCCTTACTGGGTTCTGGCATTATCCAGCATTATTTGCTGCCTGACCCACTTTGCTAAAGCCTCATTTTCTTTCCAGGTTGACTCCCATCCTTCACTTTCCTCCTGGAAGCGAGTTCCCTCTAATCTCCAGTCAGTCAGTCTTTTCTTCTGAATACTGCTCTGCATCAGAGGTGAATTCAGCTTGTCCCACGCTATGCCCAGACCTGCACCTGTCTCCCCTAAACCCCTTCCTTCTTGTGGACCAGTGTTGTCTAATCCACCATGCATGTTGTTGCCGTTACTTGTATCTTCTTCCACCCCCACCCCAGCCATTTTACCCACACATGTGCTTATGGCCTTGGGTCCCCGAGTAGGGGTCAGACCAGAAGACCCTGGCCTCTCTGTCAATCTTCATATGGCTTAATCTGCTTGACCATTGCCCCAGGCGTTTCCAGGTCAAGTTTCTCAGTGCAATCTTTGCCTTCTGGCTTTTTAAATTCCTCCAACTGGTATAAATAGAGTGGACTGGTTTGGGGCCGTTAATTTTGGGGACCAGCAGGGTCCACCCAACTTTTGATGGTGCTACATTAAGACCTTTACTTCAACCCCATGGATATCTACTTCATTTACCCTATTTCTTTCTTTCTTTTTTTTTTTTTATTGCTGGGGAAGTTTCGCTCTGAGCTGACATTTTTTGCCAGTCTTCTACCTTTTTTCTTCCTTTCCCCTCCCCAAAACCCCAGTACATACTTGTGTATAGTTGTAAGCTCTTCTGGTTCTTCCATGAGAGCCACTGCCACAGCATGGCTACTGACAGACAAGTGGTGTGGTTTCACGCCTGGGAACTGAACTCGGGCCACCGAAGTGGAGCGTGCACCGAACTTGAACCTCTAGGCCATCAGGGCTGGCCTAGCTAATGCCTGGACTTCTTACATTTTAATTTTAATTATTTTTTTTGTGAGGAAGATCAGCCCTGTGCTAACATCTGCCAATCCTCCTCTTTTTGTTTTTTTGCTGAGGAAGACTGGCCCTGGGCTAACATCCGTCCGATCTTCCTCCACTTTATATGGGACGCCACCACAGTATGGCTTGCCAAGCCGTGCGTTGGTGCGCGCCCGGATCCGAACCGGTGAACCCCAGGCCGCCACAGCGGAGCGCGCGCACTTAACCGCTTGCACCACTGGGCCAGCCCCTGGACTTCTTACATTTTTAAATCTGAATGTCTGGCATTGTGAGAAGGGACTGCCTACATTGTGCCTTTGTCCTTTCATAGATCTCATCAAAGAGTTTGGTGAGGAGCTGACAGTTTGTTCCCAGGGGCTGTTCTTTCTTTGCTGTCGACCTACTGAAATACTTAGAGCCTGGCATTCTGGGAAAACTCTGTCTTTAGGAAGCCTGGGCTGAGAGAAAGTTTGGCCTTTAGGAGGGAGGCACAGATTTAACTCCCATGAGAACAGATTTGCCTCAACGGATGAGAAACTTCCACAGCCATTCCTGCAAGTGGGATCATAATCCAGTTTACATCCTGAGCTTGATTACTTCAGGATTACAGGACTATTCTGCTCCCTTCTTCCACCCTTCTACCTCTCTCCTATGGAGGGAGTAGTTACCAGCGTGATTGATAGAACAATTATTGAACCTAGGATACTAATAAGCCATAATTTACTAGTGGGCAGGGCCACCATGTCTTAGAGCTGAGCACTCATGTGTGGCATTCCTCTCCTTCCTGCCACAGACTGAGGCCAGCTGTCTCTCTCTTTCTTCTTTTCCATCTTCCCTGAGCACACAACTGGATAGATATTTTGGATCCTCAGTTCTCCTTCTCCTTACTTCTCTCTCAGGATGAGCGTGTGGTATGAGGCAGTATGAGAATGCTGGTCCCAAGATTTAGATTTGGGAGAAAGAGGAGAGGGGTGGGTAGGACCTCCCACTTCTGTCTCCTGGGGTAAGCAAAGCTTCTTGCTCTCTCTCCTTGTCTTTCATCAGATCCCTGCATGGGGATTACAGAAGGTAGCTATTAATAAAGCAAAACTCTGATTTTCATGGGCCTTGGGAACCCTTCAAGAGAAAAGGTGACTTGTCAGGAAGGATTTGAACATTCCGGATCCTTGGACATAATACCATTCCAATACCAGGTGAACTAGGGGCTGAATCAGGGGCAGTTCCAAATGGAAGATAGTTCTTGCTTGGTCTTCCAACCTGCTGTTGACATTGGAGTCACCACCTATGGGTGGAAGGAGAATTCTAGCAGACTCTCCAATGGGAATAGTTTGTAACTCCTGAAGCTCAACATTCCCTGACATTATTTTGGGAGGCTATTTTACGCTTCAGGGAAATTATGCAAAGGAAGATGTTCTTATACGAAAGGGAGAATCCATGCAAATATGAACCTTTGAATGTTAGCCTGGGACTTTTAATGTGTTTTTCAGACACAGAAAATCTTAGAGACACACAAAACTGCCTTATCTTGCCATTTAGATTAGGATAGACACTTTTCCATAGCTACGTTTGGGTTATCTGAATGTACCCTAATGAAAAGAACACTCCAAAATATTTGTTCATGTATTCATTCGAGCCGTCTTTCAGTACCTGTGGCTTTATGCTAAGGCCTGGGGATACCTGATGAATAAGACAAACTTGATCCCTTCAAGAAGCTTTAAACAGGCACTTTTTCTGTTATGTAGGTCTGAGTTTCTGACCTATTTCATTTTTTCTCCTTGAAAATCTTCTTTTAACATTTCTTCTGGAGTAGGTCTGCTGCAGCTCGATTCCCTCAGTTCTTATTTGTCTGAAAAAGTTTTTATTTCTCCTTGACTTTTGTAGGGCAGTTTTGTTGGATATAGAATTCTAAGTCAGTGGCTTGTTTCTTTCAATATATTATATGATTCACTCCACTCTCTTTTTGCA